CAGGAGAAGCCTCCAGCCTGACTCATGGATTTGGGGCTTTCCAGCCTCTACAATCATGTGAGCTGTTTCCTTGATATAAATCTCTCTCTTTATATATTTATATGCTTTTTTGGTTTTGCCTCTCTAGAGAGCCCAGCCTAAGACAGATGGCATGGGTGTGGCCTGGCAGCGTGGCCCCACACATGCTCAGGAGGCACACGAGGCACCCTGGCAAGTCAGCACTGGCCACCCCCCCGACACCTACTGGAGAAAATCCCACATTGTGTGCTGGTTGTGATGGCTAATTTCATGTGTCAACTTAGCTAGGCTGTGATTCTTAATGGTTTTGCCAGATACGGGACGGGTTGTTGTCCCATAATGTAATGTAATAGAATGACCTTCCATGATCTGATCTGATGTGATCAACTGGTCAGTGAAAGGGCAGTCTCCCTGGGGGCGCGGTCTGCCTCCAGAATGTAGATGGATATTCTGGCAGACCTCACGCTCTCTCCCATGAAGCTGCACTCTTCTCGCTGCCTCACCTATGGATCGTGGGACATAAGTTTGCAGAAGTCTCTGGCCTGCTGCCCAACCTATGGATTTTGGACCTGCCAGTCCCACAGTTGTGTGACCCAATCCCTTAAATTTTATATCTATATATATGCATACATATATAGATATATAGTGGTGCGATGGATCACTGTTATATGGCCTTTCTCATTATCATCTTGTAATTCCCACCAAATAATTGGGTGGGACTATGCAAATGAGATGCTTGAGACCCACCAAGGGGATTAGATGGCTTGCTAATAATGTAAATAAGGTGCATGGCGCTCTTGTGGGGGTGGGACCATGCAAATAAGGTGTATGGAACCCTAACAAGAGGAATGGTCAGTGTTGCCATCCTGCTAGGCTTAAAGGGAGACACGGAGAGAGAGAGGAGCTGTAACATGGAAGACGGTGAGAGAGACAGTGTGCAGGGACAGCGACGAGAGATGGTAGGAACCAAGGGACCAGTGTGAGGCAGCCGTGGTGGAGCTTACTGATCCATGGAGCTAAGAGTTGTAACACTTGCCTGAAAAGGCCCCTGAGCAGGGCTAGCGGCAGCAAGGCCCCAGCAGGGCCCAGTGGCAGAAGGCAAGAAGCTATCCTGCTCGAAGAACAGTGTCCTGAGTTATTCATGTTACTTCCAAGTTGATCCCGATCCTGAGTTGTACCCTGTTACTTCCCTAATGAATCACTTATCTGTAAGTACAGTTCATGAGTTCTGTGAGACATTGCAGTGAATTACCAAACCCAAAGACAGGAGGGAGAGTACGAGGGGAGGGGGCGTAGTTGACGTTAGAAATGATGGAGTGGGACAGCAGTTTGGAAAAGTTGGACATTTGGGACATCTTTAACCTCCGCCCCATAGAAATCAGCTTTGCGCTGATCCTTATAAAAGAAATTATTCATTTATATATATAAACATATAACTATATATGTATACGTACATATAAATATATTTATGTATATGTTGTTGTTGTTAGGTGCCGTCGAGTCAGTTCCAACTCACAGTGACCCTACAGGACAGAGCAGAACCGCACCATATGGTTTCCAGGGACCGGCTGGTGGATCTAAACTGCTGACCTTTTGGTTAGCAGCCGAGCTCTTAACCACTATACCACTAGGGCTTGGTACACACACACACACACACACACACACACACACACACACACGCACGCACACACTACTTAGACCTGTAGCAACAATGCCCGTGAAAACTGCCAATTTCCACTGCCTCTGCCCTTCTGAGGATGGTGGACAGCAGCGTCAGGCAGCTCAGAAAGTCCATCCCCTCCCCGAAGAGGAAGTACAGGTCCTGAGAGGTTAGTCCTTCTCAGTCACACTCCTCCTTACTGGCGTAACCAGTGTGTGAGCCTTCCTCTGACTTCTGCAACTTCAGAGTGAGTGGAAGTGGTGAGACTGTGTTTTCACAGAAGGCAAGTAGGAAGGAGGGAAAATCTTCATTTTTTTTCCCCTCCTTCAGAGTTTCAGCATTGCTCTAAGGGAGATGTACTCTGATGTTGGAGGCATGTTACCCTTTGTCATCAAAATGGGCTCAATACAGGCCCCTCAGCCTTCTGAATGCTGACGTGCAGGTTCATACCCATCACTATCTACAGGCATAACTGTGCCTGGCAGGAATTTCTTTTTTAAAGAAGAAAAAATGAGGGTCAGCTGGTCTAAGAGATTAAAGCGTGATTAAGCAGAACTGAAAAGCTGCATTTATTGGGGGCTTATCTTATGATTATAAAGGAGAGTTGGTTTTACTGACATGTGGCTTCGTCACAGCTGTGAAGGAGGGTCAACTCCTAGAAGGAGATGTGAGTGTGAAACACCCACTGCATTAAAAAAATCCTTAACTCAGAATACAGTGAATCATGGAGTCTTGGTTTGAAAAAGGCCATTTTCCTTGAAAATAGACTCTAAGTTCACAGTTACGTGTATCGTCGTGGGTCTAAGAAGAGACATACATAAAATTCGCCATCTTGCCTCTTAACTCAAAAGCCATGTAGGGCAGATGACCTTCCATTTGCTGCAGCTCTTGTATGGTTGACGAGGTAGTGATTATGCCAGAGGCTGGAGCAGTTACTCCTAAACTCCTAGAACTTCTCTAGAAGCTTCACGGAACGTGGTTTGTTTCCTTTTTAAATCCCTGTCTTAGTTAGTCAGTGCTTCCATAACAGCAATACCCCAAGTGGATGGCTTTAACAAATTTATTTTCTCACAGTTTAGGAGGCTAGAAGTCCAAATTTAGGGTGCTGTCTCTAGGGGAATGCTTTCTTTCTGTATCCACTCTAGGGGAACGTCCTTGTCTCTTTTCAGCTTCTGTTTCTCCATTCCTTGGGGATCTTCATGTGGCCTGGCATCTATCTTCCCCATCTGGGCTTCTTTGCTTCTGTGCCTAATCTGCTCTTTTTATATCTCAAAGGTGACTGGCTTAAGACACACCTACACTGTTATGACCTTGTTAACATAACAAAGAAAACCCTATTCCCAAATGGGATTACATCCACAAGTATAAAAACCAAACCAAGCCAATCCCATTGCCATCGAGTTGATTCTGACTAATAGCAACCCTACAGGAGAGAGTAGAACTGCCCCACAGGGTTTCCAAGGAGCAGTTGGTGGATTCAAACTGCTGAGCTTTTGGTTAGCAGCCAAGCTCTTAACCACTAAGCCACCAGGGCTCCTCCACAAGAATAGGTGTTAGGATTTACAACACATATTTTTGGGTGACGCAGTTCAATCCATAAGAGTACCCAACCTTGTTCTGGTACTAGTACTCACAAAAGTAAATTAATATAATCCCAACTTTTGCACATTGAGGAAATTCTATGGGTTGGCCAAGCAGAGAAGTGTGCTGGTTCTGTGCATAATGCCCAAAGCCTGGACAACCCAGGGGGCTCCCAGGGAAGGCTCCCCGCAGGAAGCAACCTGGAGTGAGGCAGCCAGAGTGGATGTGTCCAAGTTTAATGGAAGGTGGGAGAGGGGCAGAGCAGGGTGTCATTGTAGGAGCGATTTCAGAGCTGGAGGGCACGTTGTTGGCACCTGAGACTTCCAAACTTTAAATTTGTTGCCAGATCACTGCAGGCTGGCCTGGTGTCCACAGAAAAGTGATGCAATTTAACTTTAAAACAAAAACATCAGGCTAGCACAGTCTAGAAAAATGAAACGAACAAGCTAGAGGGTTCCAACTTGTAATGTGTCCATTTTGCAGTGAGGTACACTGAGGCCAGACATCATGCCCACAGCATTCATTTCGTTCACTAATTCAGCAATTGCTTTCTGAGCAGCTACAATGCACATCAGTGTGGTCAGAAATGAAATAGAGATGAATAAGATGGGGTCTTCAAGAAACCACTCTTCAGGAAATTTAGTCAAGAGGAGTAATATACAAAAAATGAGTGTAAGACAGTGTGACAACAGAGAACAAGGTATGAGTACAGCCACGTTCATTTTCAGGGTGCTGACAATATCAAGTATGTTATTTTACTCCATCTTAGTTATACAGTGCTGCTATAACAAAAATACCACAAGTAGGGGGAACTTAATGAACAGAAATTTATTTCCTCACAGTTTAGGAGGTTAGAAGCCTGAACCGAACTCTGTCTGCACTGGGGGAAAACCTTTGTCTCTGTTTCTGTTCCTCAATTCTCTGGCCATCTCCAAGTGGCGTTGATCTTTCCTCCATTTGTGCTCGTCTGTCACTGTGCCTAATCTGCTCTTTTTATATGTCAAAAATTAATAGGTCGAAGACACAGCCTATACTGATATGGCTTCATTAACATAAGGAAAACTCTATTCCCAAATGGGACTGCAGCCACAAGTATAGGGGTTAGGATTTTAACGTATATTTGGGGGGGGGGGTCATAATTCAATCCATAGCAGACTCCCTTAAGTGTATGCATAACCCTAGGTTCGGTATCCTGACTTTGGGTTCAGAAAATACTAGCATACGAAGTACTATCTACTTACTTTTCACCCCAGTGGCACATGTCTCTCCTTTATTTTCTTCCCTTTCCCCACTTCTTTCTTTATGCTTTATATTTTATTTAATAAAAATTTCAAATTAGGACTGAAGGGGGTAGTTTTTAGGGAAAAAAATTTATCTGGCATTTAAAAATTAGTTTTTACAAACTCTTAGTTCAACTCTCGTAATTTTACAATGTTTACTTTGCTGTGTAAAGCTTTCATTTTCTGAGAGATGACTGCCTTTACAAATGAGATGGTCAAGAACCACTGTCTCCCTTCACAAGACTCAGCAGGACCAGAGGGTTCCCAGGGAAGGGTGGGTGGGCTGGAGCACAAGGCCTGACAAATACAACTTCCAAAAAAGGAATCTGCATTCCAAATAGAAGTGATTTCAGCTCAAAATGAGAAAAAAAAAAACTTTCTAAGAGGTGTTTGAAAATAGAATATGCTGCTTCCTGAGGTCAGAACTCTGAACAGAGGCCGTGGTAAAGAGAATTCAGTTCAGGGTCCCCAAGACCACCCTCAGGTCCAATGATTCACTAGAACTTGGCAAAAAGTTATAATCATGGTTATGGTTTATTACAGAGAAAGGACACAGACTGAAATCAGCAAAGGTAAAAGGAGCACAGGGCAGGGCCCAGGAGAGTCCAGGCGTGAGCTTCCAGTTGTTCTCTCCCAGTGGTGGTATACAGACAGCACTTACTTCTTTCATGTGACAACATGCATGGAGTATTGTCAACAATGGAAGCTCACTCAAGCTTTGGTGCCCAGAGGGTTTACTGGAGTTCAGATACCCACACGGTCACTCCAGATGTCAACTGATATCATTTGGCCCAAGTCTCCCACATAAATCACATTGTTAATATAGACTATCTGGCATGGCCCAAGGCCCCCAGGTAAACAAAGATACTCTTAACAGGCAACATATTCCAAGGGCTTAAAGGTTACCTCCCGGGAGCCAGGGGCAATGGACCACACCTTTCTTTGGGCGAGGTAAGAAAAGCTTTTACTGCACAGAGGCGAAGGCATGGATCCCTTTAAGGTCTCTTCCAACTGTAGGGTTCCCTTCTGCTACCTGAAGTGTACACTGTATTTAAAAATACAGTTGTTCATACCTGAGAGAGGATTCTTAAGAGGTCATCGCAACCCCGGGGTTTTCAGTGAAGGAGGTTGTGAAAACTCGTAAGGGTATGCTGCTGTCACAGTCACTGTGGGGCACCGAGTGAGCTGCAGCCAGCAACGGACTCTACAATGAGCAAGACAGCGCTACACAGCAGACTTCTTCCTGACATCCATTTAGGTCAGAACCCTGCTTAGAAAGATCTGCGCCCCTACTGTTTCACATATACAACCACAGAATGTTTTTTGTGGCTTTTTCAAGGAATGCAATTACTGGTTAATTGAGGAAAAACTGTGTTCTGTTTAGTTTGGAATGTGACCAAGAATTATCCATCATTTCAGAAAAGCACCTCAGGGAAGGCAGCGCTGCCTGGGGCATCTGCATCCTCGGTGCCTCCGTCCTCAGCCACCTTTGTGGCTACAGTTCACACACACAGTTCACAGTTCTGGTTCCGTCATTCTCACAGGCGGGAGTTCACTTCTGCTTCCTCCTAGTACGCCTCCCGGTATGGCTGTGCCCGAGCACGCGGACGGGGAAACACTATTACAGAACTCTTCTTGTTATTTCTTCTTTATATTGTGGGCAGTGCTCGCAATGATTTTTTAATTATGTTTGTGGGGAGGATTTATCCATGATTTTCACTTCTGATAGAAAAGGGGACAGGATCTCTTTATTAGGAAAAGGCGCATTGGGCCTGAGGAGCCTCATGCCATTCACGCCCCGTAATATCACTGACAGGTAAGGATCCTGCCCTCCAGGGCTGGGGCAGCTCAGTCCTTCCAGCACCTGAAGATGGCTAACAAGTCCCGTCCTCTCACCCCCAAGCCTTCTCTTCTCCTAGTTAAACAGCCCACATCCGCAGCCGTTCCTCACTCCTCTGGTCACCTTCCTGTGAGAAACCCTCCATTTTCCATGTTCCTCTGGGAATGTGGGGCACAGAAAGGAATGATGCCCTCCAGCAGGGCCCTGGCCGCTGCATTGTGTGGCGGCTCATTCCTGTTCTCTGCACTGAGACTGCATTAACGCTGTGGGCGTTACCGCGACACCGGGGCTCATCGTCCGCCTGTCCCACCCACCTCGAGCCCACCCACTCGGGACGCCCACCTCAGCCGCCCAGTAACACCCGTGATGGGGGAAGGCTCGTGCACACCCCAATATGTGAGTCCACAGCGCTCCCGCAACTCAGAGTAGAAGTGCCAGAAAAGACAAGAAATGGAGTTATCCGGAGTGAACAGCTGTGAAGGATTAGCAATCTGCTGTGCGGGGAGACACAGCTGGTCAGAGCCCCGAAATGCTTCCTCTAGCATGCGCCTCCTCCTTCTTAGGTTGCTCTGAGCTCAGATGTTCCGCTGTGGAGGGAGACTGGGATCTGAGGCAGGGACATTTCCAAACACAAACAGAGGGGGCTTTGACGAGCCCCTCAGAGACGCCTCCAAAGGCTTCCCTCCATCAGCAGAGGGGGCGTCCTTGGTGCCGTTTCCTGGCGTTGGACAGATGGTCAGACGGGTCTGACACCAGGACGGTGTGATGAAGATGGGCCGCAGGGGCCCGGAGAAGACAGCCCGAGGGAAGGTGAAGATGTGGGCCTCTTCATTCACGTTGTAGAAAGAAAGCTCCCCAGCCTCATAGTCTAGGAAAACCCCAACCCGGGGGTGGAGCGTTTTCTGGGGGCTGAAGACACCTGCGGGAAAAAGGTCCCCCTTGCTCCAGAACCCGTGCTCGGGGGTCCAGGTGGGAGAGTCCTTCCTGTCGGCGTCCTCTTTACACACCCCAAGGAGCCAGCTTCCTCTGTCTCTCACCTCCACCTCCCAATAGTGCCTGCCAGCAGACAGGCGCTCGGAGCCCAGCACACTTGGAAAGCCCCCAAACAGCTCCCCCGCCCCAGGCTGGCCGTTCCAGGGCTGGGCCTGCAACACGGTCCTCCGGTCCTCGGACAGGGTGAGGCGGGGGTGCACGCTCTCAGGGTCCAGGGTCACCACCACTGCGGATTACACACAGGAAGCGCTCAATAAATGCGGGCCCTTTGTTTACCGTTGGAACTACTTCTTACCGTGGTAGGCTTCTTCCTAAATTGAGGGGAGGTCAGCACCCCAAGTGGGTAAGGAAAGGGGTTCTCATTCGTCCTGCTCTAGGCCCACCCTGCCGTCTGCAAAGCTGTACTTTTATCTTGGCCTTTCAAAGGCTGGTCATCTTGGAAAAGATGCCAGTTGACGGATAACTCTAGACTTTTGAGCCCTGGAGAATGGACACGCTTTGGTGTCACATCCCAGGTGAAGGGAGGAGGGAGGCATGCAGAGGCGACAGCCGCCAGGAGGGTCGCCTGGCAACCAGGGCTGACTCTAGACTGTGAGGACAAGACAGGGACAGGATTTCAGGACTGACAGTGGCGGGGGCAGTTAGGACAGAATGGGGGGGTTTCCCTGGGAAGGGGTGAGGAGAGCAAAGAGAGTTAGGGCTGGAACAGAGCGCTCGGGGCAGGGGTGCTGGCAGGAGACAGCCACCCTGCAAACAGAGGAAGCAGTGAAGGAAACCAGGAGTTAAATTCAGGAGAGAGACCCCGGGTTGTGAGGCAAGACAAGAGGCATGGAGAGTAAGTAGAGTTCACTGATGTCTTTTTTTTTTTGACACCTCTGTGTGTTGGAAAGTTTTCAAAATAAAAAAGTTGGAAAGAACGAGACGCCATTGGGCTTGGCCATCAAGAGGGCTGCTGTGTCTTCAGGAGACACTTCCAAGGGTGCCGTGGGGACGGGAACAAAGTCTGCCGCAGCGTCACCACCCCGGCAGGGCCTCTCCGCAGCCCGTGAATGGTCTCTCATTTAACAATCGGACGCTTCTCCTCAGAGCACACACGCGAAGAACCCCTGTGCACGCGTTCACCGTCTGTGTCAACTACTAGCCCACAGATCGCCTACCCCTCTGTCCAGCGTGCTAGTCCAGTGCTGGGCACAGAGTAACTCTATGATGAGGGAATTACAACTGTGTGCGTAATAATTACATGACGAAGGCCTTGAAGATAATGCGCCACCCCACCCCACTTTTGAATTGCAAGTGTTCCCATCATCTCTGAGGCAGGAAGCTCCATGACACAGGTCGTGTCTGGCTAGAGCCAGATGGGGAGCAGTAGGCTGAAGCGATGTACAGAAGGGGAAAATGAAAGAAGGGAAAAAAAGGCCTTCCCTGGATGCTGCACCTTGGAAGCTGGCTCCCTGTAAGGTCAAGGCTGGGATCCTTGGAAACTGTTCTTTAGAGGCTCACTGCACAGAGAGGCCTGGCTACTGGCCCTGGAATCACAGCATCTGAGACCTCTCGTGTCCTGAAATACGCCCTTGTTGTTCGTTGCTGTCAAGTCAACTCCGACTCACCGCAACCGTGTGTGTGCAAAAGAGAAGTGCTTCATAGGGTTTTCAAGGCTGTGACCTTTTGGAAGCAGATCGCTGGATCTGTCTTCCTAGGTGACTCTGAGTGGGTTTGAACTGCCAACCTTTCAGTTAGTAGATGAGTGCTTAACCGTTTTCCCACTCAGGGACTCCTAAAACACACCCCATGCACCCCTTACCCTGGAATTTCCGCAGTGTCTCCAACAGCCCTGGGACTTTGCACATAGTCCTCAGCTCCATGGAAATGGCCTTTGGGGTCTGAAGCTCCAGATGCTTAATCCTAGAAGAAGCACACGGCCTGTTACCCCTTGGCCCAGCAAGATGCAGGGGCCACGTGGTTTACAAAGAACACCCCTCGGCTCCCGTGGACAACATACCTGCTCAGAATCTCTCCTATACCCTGCAGAGAAGACAGAAACTCTGGGTTAGTGGAGAGGACGGTCAGTTCCACGCCACCTCTCTCCCGACCTCAAGAGCACAGAGACCTTCTGCAGACACCTCCTTGTTTGTATCCTACCAACCCTCCTCTGCGGGCCGACCCCCACCCCACCCCAGGTGCTCACTTTCCTCCCTTCAAAGTCATACGTCTTCCACGAATTGTCCGTTCTCATCTCCATTTCCCCCACCACCCACTCGTACCTAACTTATCCAGCCTGACTTCCCTTCTCTTTGCTCAACCCAAACAGCTCCTTCTCTGGTCACTGACGGTCTCCATGTTGTAAACTGAGTAACAGTTTTCAGTCTGAATCTTTCTGGACCATTCAGTGAAGCCTGAGACGCCTCTCCCGCCCTTACGACACTTTTCACCTGACGGCTGCTGTTTCTCCTCCGGCCTCTCCTGGCTACTGGTCAGCATCCTGTGCAGGATCCTTTACTCAGCCCTAACGTGGTGGCCTTCCTCAGGTTCACCCGAGCTCTCCCGCTCAGCAGTCTTGCCCAAGCGCACAGCTTCAGCTGACACCTACATGCGCTTGATTCACAAAAGCATGTCTCCAGTTGTGCAGTAAAGGATTGCTGTTAGCTGCTATCAGGGTGACTCATGGTGATCCCCTGTGTGCAGAGTAGAACTGTTCCATAGGGTTTTCAAGGCTGTGACCTTTCGGAAGCAGATCGCCAGGCCTTTCTTCTGAGGTGCCTCCGGGTGGGTTCCCATCGCCAACCTTTCAGTCAGTAGTCGAGCGCTTAACCATTTGTGCCACCCAGGCAACAAAAAATTCTTTAAGATTCTTAGGCAAAGATAATGTTTCCGAAAACAGTTTAGAGAATCATACAGAATCACCCATAAATAAAGTTTGAATCCTACGACACGCTGGGAAAGTAGGTGTCTCAGCGTTCGTTATTTTGTTCCACCACACAGAGTTTGGAGTTGGGGTCATGGGTGGCTGGGAGTCTCTGCTCAGCGTCTGTCGCGTGCAGGGCAAAGCCACAGGGCTGAGCTCAGACGCCAGCTGCCTCTGCCTGTGACACACGGTCCTACCGCCTGGGATGGGCCCTGGGCGGGCTCTGGGGCCAGAGGAGGATAAAACATAACTAGCCACAGGCAGGCCACGGATCGCCTTTCCAGGGCCACGGCGAAGCCTTCTGCCATCCTCCTCCTCCCCGTAGAAGTGAGGGAGGAAGCAGAGCCAGAAGCAGGAAGGCGCCACGTGTCCACGGCTGCAGCCCGGCCTCTGCCGTCTCTCCCTTCTCTTCCCACCCCCGCCCGGGGTGCAGGTGTCACCTGGAGCAGCCCCAAGGCCGGGCGCTCACTGCGCCCCTCCAGCTCGGAGACGAGCTCCTTCACGGAGCGGCTCTGCTCCGCCAGGGCGCGCTCGTCCCGCCTCAGCACCTCCACCATCGCCGCCTCCTCCTCCTCCAGCTGCCGCAGGACCCGCAGCTCCTCCTCCGCCAGCAGCTGCCGGAACTTCTCGAACTCGGACACGGTCCTCTGCTTCCGCCCCTGCACCTTCACCTGGGGGTGAGGGAAGAATCGGGCCAGAGCTGGCGCATGGGGACCCTACAGGCAGGGCCTCGCCAACGGCGACCACCACTCAGGACCTGCTGGAAGGGCCGCCTGTTACATTTGCAGGAATTCTGCAAGTCGGCTGCGAAACGGCGATTATTAAACATTATTTACACTTGTCGGTTGCCGTGTATTGATCCCGATTCACGGTGACCCCATCTGCGCAGAGGACAACTGCTCCACAGGGTTTTCGTGGCTGTGACCTTCTGGAGGAGCCCTGGTGGCGCAGTGGAAGCAGATCCCCACGTGTGCCTTCCAAGGCACCTCTGAGTGGGTTCTAACCGCCAACGTTTTGGCTGCTAGTCAAGTGCTTAATGTTTATGTCACCCAGGAACCCCTTATGTGAGCATTTCAAATTACATAAATTCTATTGGGAACAATTACATAAATTATATTAAAAATAAAGATGACACATACTCAAAAGTCCTAATTATTTTACTACATCTTTAGCTCTTGAGGCTATTTATGGCCACTGCACCGGTATGGTGGGAATACCTTACATTGCGCACTGCGGCACATCGCTTTCCAACGCCTCATTCAGTGATGTCAGGTATCAGCCAAGGCAGAAGAGTTTACACCAAGGGAACTGGCAAACGCACATCATCCTGCCCACCCCGAGCAGACTGCTCACACTGACCAGTTCGTGTAGCACAGAATCATCATCTTTTACCGCTTTCTGGCAGAAAATGACTCTTGGCTCCCTCCCCAGAGAGGCTCGTTTTTCTACTCTCAAGTCAGACCCTGAATGAGTTAAGTCTACTACTTTTGTTTTTATTAAAACCCAATCTGATAGCATGGCTATTTGAACTGGAGACTCTCAACCCACACTGTCAAATATGGCAGCCACTGGCCACACGTGGCTATTGAGCAGCTGGAATGTGGCTAGTGGCTAGGAAGGACGGTGCTATGGGTGGAAAGCAAACATTAGATTTCAAAAATTTAGTATGAAAAAGAAAATGTAAAATAGCTCATTAATAACCTTAATGTTGACGAGCTCTTGAAATGATAACAATGTCAAATGGTAAATAAAATTATTAAAATTAGTTTTACCAGTTACCTTTTGCTTTTTTTAAAACGTTGCTTGTATTGTCCTTCTAGAAGTGACAGCTTCGTAAGTAATCCCTCTTCCCTTCTTGCTTTCTCCTAAGGGTTCTCCTGACCCTCCCCCATGTTGGCTCTTACAAATTACTTTCTCCTTCATCTTCCCTGTCTTTGTTTTCTTCATTTTCTCTGTCCACATTTTATGCCTCGCCCCACACCCAACAAAAATAAGGAAGCCCATAATCTTTCCACCTGGCAGTCTGACCTGGTCACAAAACTGTCTATCTAGAAATCCAACTGGAAATAAATTTGAAATATCCCTGACTGCCTTTTAACTAATTTGTCACTCTCTGAATACTTTCTGTCATGGATTGAATTGTGTCCCCCCAAAATATGCACCAACTTGGCTAGGCCATGATTCCCAGTATTGTGTGATTGTCCACCATTTTGTCATCTGACATGATTTTCCTAGATGTTGTAAATCCTACCTCTATAATGTTAATCAGATGAGATTAGCAGCAGTTACGTTAATGAGGCAGGACTCAATTTACAAGATCCAATTGTGTTTTAAGTCAATCTCTTTTGAGATATAAAAGAGAGAAGAGAGCAGAGAGACATGAGGACCTCATACCACCAAGAAAGCAGCACTGGGAGCAGGATCTGAGGTTCCTGCGCAGAGACGCTTTCAGGCCAAGGGAAGATTCGTGACAAGTACCTTCCTCCAGAGCAGAGACAGAAAGCCTTCCCCTGGAGCTGCCGCTCTGAATTCAGACTTCTAGCCTACTAGGCTGTGAGAGAATAAACTTGTTTGTTGAAGCCATCCACTTGTGGTATTTCTGTTTTAGCAGCCCTAGATAACTAAGATGCTTTCTGAATCTATTTATATTTTACAAGTCTAGGCTCTTTCCTGATTGAGTTCTCTAAGCTAGCTGTTCCCATTAGTGATTCCCAGTTTCTCCAGCAGAAGGGCATTCTTTTATGGATGAAAAAACTCTGATGCCCAGAGTAATATTATCGTTCTTGTTTGTTTCTGGGCCAGATGGTCTGGGTAACAATCATTCTTTTATAAATTTATTCCTATGTGACTGTGGGCAAGTTACTTAAACTCTCTGGCCTCAGTTTCCCTATCTGTAAAATGGGGTTATAATAGTGCCTACCCCATAAGCACTATCATCAACCGACTGGAAGAGATCCATATTTGTGCCAATTCCAAAGAAAAGTTATCCAACAGAATGTGGAAATTATCAAACAATATCATTAATATCACACACAAGTAAAATTTTGCTGAAGATCATTCAAAAACAGTTTCAGCAGTACACTGACAGAGAACTGCCAGAAATTCAAACTGGATTCAGAAGAGGGAGTGGAATAAGGGATATCATTGCTCATGTCAGATGGATCTTGGCTGAAAGCAGAGAATAGCAGAAAGATGTTTACCTGTGTTTTATTGACTATGCAAAGGCATTCAACTGCGTGGATCGTAACAAATTATGGATAACATTGTGAAGAATGGGAATTCTAGAACATTTAATTCTGCTCATGATGAACCTGTACAAAGACCAAGAGGCAATCATTCGAACAACAGGATACTGCGTGGTTTAAAGTCAGGAAACGTGTGTGTGAGGGTTGTATCCTTTCACCATACTTATTCAATCTGTCTGCTGAGCAAATAATCCGAGAAGCTGGACTCTATGAAGAAGAATGTGGCATCAGGATTGGAGGACGACTCATTAACAACCTGCGATATGCAGATGACACAACATTGCTTGCTGAAAGTGAAGAGGACTTGAATTACTGATGAAAATTAAGACTACAGCCTTCAGTAGGGATCACATCTCAACATAAAGAAAACAAAAATCCTCACAACTGGACCAATAAGCAACATCATGATACACAGAGAAAATAACTGAAGTTGTCAAGGATCCACACTTAACACCCATGGAAGCAGCAGTCAGGGAATCAAATGATATACTGCGTTAGGCAAATCTGCTGCAAAAGACCTCTTTAAAGTGTTAAAAAGCAAAGATGTCACTTTGAGGACTAAGGTGCGCCTGACCCAATCCAGGGTATTTTCAATCTCCTCATATGCATGTGAAAGCTGGACAATGAATAAGGAAGACTGAAGAAGAATTCATGTATTTGAATTATGGTGTTGGTGAAGAATACTGAATAAACCATGGACTGCCTGAAGAATGAACAAATCTGTCTTGGAAGAAGTACAGCCAAAATGCTCCTTAGAAGCAAGGATGGTAAGACTATGTCTCATACTTTGGGCATGTTATCAGGAGGGACCAGTTCCTAGAGAAGGACATCATGCTTGGTAAAGCAAAGGGTCAGCAAAAAAAAGGAGGATCCTCAATGAGATGGATGGACACAGTGGCTGCAACAATGGGCTCAAGCAGAACAACGACTGTGAGGATGGCGCAGGACAGAGCAGAGTTTCATCTTGTTGTTCATAGGATTGCTATGAGTCGGAAATGACTCAACAGCATCTAACAACAGCCTCATAGGATTGTTGTGAGGATGAAATGAGTTAGTATAGAAAGTGCTCAATAATGTTTAGCTAGTAATAATTTATTCCGTTTTATTCCGTGGTACTTAGCATACATATAGATGCAGTGACGTCCATCTAAGCCACAGGCATGTGGAAACCTGTCTATGATCTATAGCCTGGGAATACTGAGCCACATCTTTTAAGCTTCTCTGGAATAACATTAGGGGAAACTGTGAAATTTATCTTTGATACCCGAAATATATCTAGATCTGACCCTTCCTCACCCCTACTATTGAAGTGCTCCCTCCCGAGAACCTCAGACAGCACCTACTGCAGGAAAGTTTCTCAATAAATACTGGATTAACAGATAAAGGGATGAATGCTTCTCAGCTCATATATCATGTGCAACTGGCTTTCCTTTCACAAAAGACTGACACGTCCTCTTGTTTTTGCTTTCTAAATCAAAGAAAAATTAACATTAAATAGGGCCTTAAGGGGATGTGGCAAACACTGGTAGGTGGTTCCCCAAATCCGTCTTCCCTACAGTTGCCACATTCCAGGTTTTTAGCTAGGCACGTGGACGGTCAGGAGAAACACCTCCCAGCCTTTGTTGAGACCAGGGTGCCATGTGTCTAAATAACAGTCAATGGAATGTTAGTTGAATTGATGTGTGCAATTTCTGGAATGTATCCTCAAAAAGATTCCTTCTGTTGACTGGAATGTCATTGTAATGGCCTGAGCTGCAGCTGCTATCTTGAGCAATGGGGTATAATCCAACTACTCAGGATAGAGTAACAAGATAGAAGGAAACTAGGTATTCCAGAATGGAGTTGCCAGACCAGCCCTGTCAGCCTATATTTAAATGAGAAATGAAAAAAAAAAAGAAAAGTTTATCTTGGTTAAGGCACTGCTATCTTGGGTTTCTGTCAGTCTTCAGAAGAATTTATCTCCAAAACTCTCTCTCTCATTTCTTCCCCGCTGTTCTCACCTCCTCCTGGCTTTGCCTGTCATGTCCTCTTTCTACAGATTTCTATTCACCTGAACTCCTACAGTCTCTGACTTCAGAGCTCCTCAGCCACGTCATCTCAGTTCTTTCATCTGAATGCTAGATTAGTAGCTGGAATGGTTCCTCCATACCTTCAGGAGGAGGGAAGCTCCATCTTAACTGGGCTTTAAGACAACCAGGGATATGTTGGTAACCTAGAAGGCAGCCTTCAGAGGAAAAAGAGGTGACTTTGCTGTTGGAAAATTAAAACAGTCCTGAGACGCAGGATATGAATTTAATCATGATTTATGGAAAATCATATATGGACACCATGTATGGAGGATTAAAAAAAACCAGACCAGTGGCTGTTCAGTCGATTCCGACTCCCAGAGACCTCACGTGTGTCAGAGAACTGTCCTCCATAGGGTT